AGTGCAATTGCTGGATTGTAGGGTAGTTCTATTTTTAATTTTTTGAGGAACTCCATACAGTTTTCCAGAGTGGCTGCACCAGCTTGCATTCCCACCAGCAGTGCAAAAGAGATCCTCTTTCTCCGCATCCTCGCCAACATCTGTTGTTGCCTGAGTTGTTAATGTCAGCCATTTTGGCAGGTGTGAGGTGGTATCTCATTGTGGTTTTGGTTTGTATTTCCCTGATGATGAGTGATGTTGAACATTTTTTTCATGTGTCGGTTGGCCATCTGGATGTCTTCTTTGGAGAAGTGTCTATTCATGTCTTTTGCCCATTTCTTCACTGGATTATTTGTTTCTTGGGTGTTGAGTTTGATAAGTTCTTTATAGATTTTGGATACTAACCCTTTATCTGATATGTCATTTGCTAATATCTTCTCCAATTCTGTTAGTTGCCTTTTAGTTTTGTTGATTGTTTCCTTCGCTGTGCAGAAGCTTTTTATTTTGATGAGGTTCCAATAGTTCATTTTTGCTTTTGTTTCCCTTGCCTCTGGAGACAAGTTGAGTAAGAAGTTGCTGTGGCCAAGGTCAAAGAGGTTTTTGCCTGCTTTCTCCTTGAGGATTTTGATGGCTTCCTGTCTTACATTTAGGTCTTTCATCCATTTTGAGCTTATTTTTGTGTATGGTGTAAGAAAGTGGTCCAGGTTCATTTTTCTGCATGTCACTGTCCAGTTTTCCCAGCACCACTTTCTGAGGAGACTGTCTTGATTCCATTGGATATTCTTTCCTGCTTTGTCAAAGATTAGTTGGCCATACGTTTGTGCGTCCATTTCTGGGTTCTCTATTCTGTTCCATTGATCTGAGTGTTTTTGTGCCAGTACCATACTGTCCTGATGATTTCAGCTTTGTAATACAGCTTTGACATCCAGGATTGTGATGCCTCCAGCTTTGGTTTTCTTTTTCAAGATTGCTTTGGCTACTTGGGGTCTTTTCTGGTTCCATACAAATTTTAGTATTGTTTGTTCTAGCTCTGTGAAGAATACTGGTGCTATTTTGATAGGGATTGCATTGAATATGTAGGTTGCTTTGGGTAGTATTGACATTTTAACAATATTTATTCTTCCTATCCAAGAGCATGGAATATTTTTCCAGTTTTTTGTGTCTTCTTCAATTTCTTTCATAAGCTTTCTGTAGTTTTCAGTGTATAGATTTTTCACCTCCTTGGTTATGTTTATTCCTAGGTATTTTCTGGTTTTTGGTGCTCATGAACATTCTTATACAGGACTTTTTGTCTCTTCTTGTCTTTTGGATAAATACTTTGAATTCTGTGTCTTAGAGTTGATGTAATTTTAACTTTTTAAGAAAGTGCCAGTTTTCTAAAGTGTTTATACCATTTTACACCCCTGCTCAGCAATGTCTGAGAGTTCCAGTTGCTCCACATCTTCACTAACATTTGGTGTTGTCAGCCTTATTTTAGCTAGTCTTTGTGGTCTCTTGCTAGTGCTTTTGAATGAGCTACCCTTCTCACTCATTCCTGAGTGACTAGAAAGATAAGCGGTTTTTTAGATGCATAGGATGGGGCTTTGGGACACACTTTTGGAGTACTCGGGACATGGTGGTAGGGATTGGGTAGGTCTCTTTAGTTCTGGCCCTGCCACTTTTCCCCCTTTGGGCACTGGGTTTGCTTCTTGGTGAATGAAATCCACCTCTAATCTTTCAACCTCATGATTCATGCAGAGGCTTCAAGAATCTTGGAACCTTGCTTCCCCTTGGACCATTTTAAGCACTAGTAGAGAAGAGAAGTTCTTCCTTTGCTTGAAAGTGTGCATTTCATATTTGTACTGAGCCCCTCTGTTGTGTGTTCAAAGGGAGAGAATTTCAAGGACCCAAAACAGAGAGAGAACCACAGGAATCTGACCCAGAAATGACCTTGTTACCTGGTGTGCCTCTTGCTCACGTGTGAGATGAGAGCAAGTAGCACTAATTACTTCTTGGAGCTGACCTTCCATTTTCCTGCCAGTTCCAAGGGCTACATTGTGGGGAGAGGAAGTTGTCTTGATGTTCAAATATCAGTAAGTCTTGAGTGTGGTAAGATTGGGCCACACTTTTCACCATGGCAGTTTCATGTTCTGTAGTCTTCAGAGAATTCGGATTCATTCCCTCACTCAGAAAGTCAGCAGATTTTAACTGGAGCATAAAAATGAAGGTTCATATTGTGATGAGCCCCAGGCATTGTACGGAAGTGTTCAATCACTATATTGTACACCTGAAACTAGTATTACATTGTATGTCAGCTGGAATTTAAATAAAAACTTAAAAGTGAGGGCTCAGTTAGAACTTTATTGCCTAAGCTGCATATTGTTGCCACAAACTATCTTTACGACTGTTGAACTACTTAATCTGTGCTTAAATTGTGCAGTTCACAATCGCTGGTGCAGGAGTGGTCTTTTGAGCATCTTTACCAATTTTTTAGGTCCCTGAATTTCATTCTACTGAGGTTGGACCAGCCAGCCACACACTGCCTCATTTTCAGGGCCATTTGTCATGTGGTCATTAACCTTTGCTCTTTAGAGGTTGGCACGTACCCTCTTTGTTCAAGAATTCTAGGAAAAGACAAGGCAGGCTGAAGGCATCAGAGGGGAAGCATGTGGGGCAAATTTGAAATTAAAGACCAGCATAGCCAACTGGAAAGTGGAACATTCTCTGCAGGGGAAGCAAGAGGAGTTTAGGTGTTTTGGATACTTTCGGTTCAGTAGTGCTTATTATGGGTTGATCCTAACACAGTGTATTTGGGTAAGGTATGGTCCCACCTCGCAAGGACTTGATGGTTACAAAAGGAGAGTCAGGCATGGTCAACTAGTACTGTGTGAGAAATATATGGAGGTCATAGAAATGGCTCAAAAATAAGCTGTTCTCTCTCTCAATAATTTATCGAATCAGTTTTTAGGATTCGGATGAAGGTTATCATGTGACTGGTAAATTTCCTAGGACTGTGATTTTTCCTTTGCCTTCCTCCTTTCCAGTCCACCTCTCAGCACTCCACTGCTCATTAGAACCCCTCGGCAGCCTGTGCTGGGCCGGAAAGGCTGCCAATGCTCCGTGAATCTCATTCATGTCCCTGGAGCATTTCTGAGGACAGCCTGGGTGCAGAGAGGAGGCGGCGCCAGAAGAATATTGAGGTCCTGCACTTAGTTGATCTCCTCTCTGCCCCTCCTCATCATCATGCTGACTGCACTGCAGTTTCTCTGAAACCGGAAGGGAAGTGGGAACAGGGCCAAGAACCACAGCTGCCAGAGAGACAGCACAAAGCCTGCATGGACTGTCGCCTCACCCGACCGAACAGGGGGCTCTGGGGCTGGGGTGCCTAGGTTACCTCGCTGTCGCCTCTGTGTGGAAAGGCACTTCCACAGATACTGTGTATTTCACGCACTAGATGTCTGAGCCCGATGGTGTTGTGTGCAAAGCCCCTCCACCCGTGCAGGTCCACATAGACCAGAGAAGCGCTCAGGGGAGTCGTGGCAGCAAGAAAGCGAGAGCTCTGAACCTATGGTCGGGCTGCACAAAAACCAGGTCCCAAGAGACTCACCCTGTCGTGGCTAAGAACTCACACATACGCACAAACGAAACAAAAGAATTGTCGTGCTAAAAGCCTTCTAGGGCACTGGAATTCAGCATTTTCCTTGCCAAAAGGTGGTTGAATTATTTGAAATCAGTTAGGTCTCTGAGGAAGTATAGCAGCCCAGTGTGTCTTGTTCTGAAACTCTTGATTAGTAAGTTCAGAGACGAAGGCATTCCTGCTCGTATGTTGCACTGCACACCTAACATACAGTGAATCCTGAGGAAGACCAGCCTTTCTTGCTCCAGTCCATCCAGATCCAGAGAGACAGACCGAAGCCTGGGGGTCTGGAAGGTCCGGCTCCTGCAGAGTCTCAGAAATTCCAGATTTGGAAGGATTAAGCTATCTGCTGTGGAAATGCTTAATTCCTTTCCTCTGGACATTTTTGGAAGGCTTTTTGCTTTTTCAATCTCCTGACTTCTTGTTTGTGACCAAGTTCAAATTCCAGAGAGGGAAGCAGCCAATATGTGCGATTATTTCCTCTTGCACCAAATGGAACTAGAAGAATGGACTTACTTCATTAGAAATAAATGTACCCTTTGGACCTTACACCCAAATGAGTAAGCATGGTCGGTCTGGCCCCTGTGCCGTTTGTGCGGTAATTAAACACAAAATGAGAAAAAGATGTCAGAGGCATGCATTCAGTCTTTTTTTAGACATAAAGCAGGAAAGAATGGAACAATCTTTAAGGAAAAAAAAAAGTTTCTTTTTGTCCTATACTCTGTCTTGGGCCAGGATGGCCGCCTGGTGACAAGGAAAGATTGTAGGGTTTGGAGTGACTGGGGTGTACATTCTGGCTTCACAGTTCAAGAGTTGTGTAATCCTAGACAAACCCCTTAACTTCTCTGAGCACCAGTTAAATGGGGGTGATAAAACACCGCGCAGTAGTTACAAGGACTGAAAGAGGTGTCGTACATAGAGCTTTTAGCATAGTGCCCTGCACAGGACGGACTCTCGCTAAATAGGCATTATGGGCATCCTGCTATTATTTTTTTTTAAACATTTTTTTTAATGTTTATTTATTTTTGGGAGACAGAGAGAGACAGAGCATGAGCCGGGGAGAGGTAGAGAGAGAGAGGGAGACACAGAATCGGAAAGGCTCCAGGCTTCTGAGCTGTCAGCACAGAGCCCAATGTGGGGCTCAGATCGATGAGCCGTGAGATCATGACCTGACCCGAAGTTGGACGCTCAACCAACTGAGCCACCCAGGCGCCCCAGCATCACACTATTATTTTAAGACAATGCCACTAACCTAGAAACCCTGGGAATGCCAGAGTGAATTCAGTGCCATGCAGCTCAGTGCTCAGATGGCTGCTGTGCTAAAGACCCTTGCCTTGCGTTTTCCAGGACAGCTGGGGGCAGGGGGGCATATGCGTCATTGTCTTACCCTTGCTCTGCTCCTCAGGTGATCTCTTCAGTGTCCCGGACTTTCCGTTCCTGTATTTCTACAGGTTCCATGGAAGCTGCTGTGCCAGGTAAGCTTAACTCAGAAAGCCCCTAGCACTATTAATTTGTCTGTGTGTGTACTGCTTGCTGTCTTTGTCAAGTCCAGGGTCACTGCCAGTTACCCAAATGAGGGGCAGAAGAAAGTGGTGGCTGTGCAGGTCTGGAATCAGCTCCCTCGGCCATCATGACATCCTCGGTCATGAGCATCGGACATCCTCGGGTTGTCATGAGTATCACCAGGTGCTCAGGGCCAGCGTGGGTCTGGGGGTACCATGTCCTGCAGAAGTTCCTTGGCCAGGGCAGTGGTTTTCAAGCTTGCAGAAGAGCCAAGCTTCCCCCAGTGTTTTTCCCTCCACAAGCAATTTTTTTTTAATGTTTATTTATTTATTTTGAGAGAGAGAGAGAGAGCAAGCACGGGAGAGGAGGGGCAGAGATAGAGGGAAACAGAGAATCCCAAGACATGGGGCTTGAGCCCCACGAATTGAGATCATGACCCGAGCCAAAACCAAGAGTCAGATGGTTAACCGACTGAGCCCCTTCCACTAGCAATTCTTAAACATAACTTGAGTGTATAAAATGATGAATCAGATTCCATTCAAGGGAAGACTTGGGTCCAGAATTGCACCCATTCAGCTACCTCCTTGGTCCCTGCCTTTTCCCTAGAGGACAATCTCTAAAAAGCCTTGACAGAATCCTAAGACCCTGAGAAACAGGTTATGGAAACCAGGGACTAGGAGACGTCTAGACAGCAAAGTGACCCTTAATACCTGGCTGTGGGAGCTCCTCAGACCAATAGGGATGGATACATATAGTTGGAGTTCATACTCACCCTGTCCCCTCTTTCCTGCCATGATCCCCACTTCGCTTGACTTTATTGTGCTGAGAAATGGACAGTCTCACGGCGTGTGTTCTGATATGGTGGGAAGTCCAGTGTTGGGCTGAATTCCAGCCTTGCTGCTTGCTGATTGGTTGGCTCTTTGAGCAAGCCGCCCTAGTTCCCCCAAGCATCAGTTTAGTTTCCTCATCCGTAAAATGGAACGATAATACCACCAATGGGTGCTTGTGTATATTAAATAAGATGTGTAAACCCTAAGCATCGTGCCTGGCCCAGGAAATGATGGCCATTATTATTATCTGCTCAGCTTGACTGTAAATAAAATGTCAACAGACCATGAGCAGTTGCCAAGCCAGACCACTTATTCCCACGCGTAAAAGAGTATGCCTTGTGAGGCAGTGATTCTTCAGAGTCAAAAAGCTGGTTGTGTGGCTCGCTACTATTTCTGACTTCGGGGTGTGTTAGGACAAAACGTACCAATGTTGTACAGTTTGGTTTTGCATCTGAGCCTCAGAATGATTCATTTATCATCTGCAGCTAAGTTTCAGGAAAACACTGACAGGAGTCATCTTCTCTATCCCTATTGATGTGGTCGGGACTTGTCGGCTGCCTGTTAGCTAGGACTGGGTGACATGAGTGTTAGTGCTGCTTTGGGGTCTGTGCACTTGTTCCCTTTGGGTCTGATTATTTGGCAGGACCGGCAAACACAGTGCAGAGGGAAGGGCATCCATTGTTTGGTTACTTGGGACAGAGCAGCACAGTTCGCAGCCCACTGATGCTGGCCTTGTGGGGTGATGTTCTAGCTCCATTTCTGCCCCTTTTAATCTGCAACTTCCTTGTAACCAGCATGAAAAATCAGGGTTTTATACTTAAAAGATTTGGAAGTCTTTGTGTGAATTGATGTAACTCTATTACATTCTATCCCCCTGGCTTCAGGACAAAGCTTGACCTCTTTTAAAAATGTGTCAGTTTCCTCCATGTCATCACATGATTCCTCCATGACCGTATCTCAGACTAAGAGTTGTCACCTTCAGAGGCCCTGCGGGAACCCAGAAGGAGTCACGGAGGCCCGAGGGGACAGTGGTAGCCATGACCCCGAGACACATGGACGGGAGTCCGAGCTCTTTTACTTCTAGGATCCTCCTGTTGCTTTTCAGATCTGCCTCCACAGGGAGCGGTAGAGAGCTGAGTGTGGAAGGAGAAAGAGAGGGACCCATGAGTAATTTAGATGATGCACAGGCATACCAGGCAAGGGATGGGAAGGAATCATGGATGCTTTCCCACGTGTGTCGGGCACAGACCCGAGTGGCTCTGCTCTAGCAGAGTGTGTGCTGAGGGGCAAGGGGATGTGGCATCATGCCCTTCCTCTGGCTGGAGGTGGAGAGAAGGGAGCGTCAGAGGGGAGGGCGTGTGGGAGACAGCACAGGCACGTGCGAAGTTGTTACATCCCTGGAGGCGAGGATGGACGCCACCAGGAGGAGCCCTGGAGCGTTAGCCGCCCCACTTTCCACTCCCAACTTTGCGGTGGCCGTGGGCACCTGCAGCATCTCTTCTGTCTCTTGAGTCAAGAACGTATCTTCATGGTGAAGTTTGAAGAACTGTGGAGGACCCTTATTAATTTTTTTTCATATTTTATTATTTTTTTTATTTTATACATTTTTTTTTCCAACGTTTATTTATTTTTTTTGGGACAGAGAGAGACAGAGCATGAACGGGGGAGGGGCAGAGAGAGAGGGAGACACAGAATCGGAAACAGGCTCCAGGCTCTGAGCCATCAGCCCAGAGCCCGACGCGGGGCTCGAACTCACGGACTGCGAGATCGTGACCTGGCTGAAGTCGGACGCTTAACCGACTGCGCCACCCAGGCGCCCCAGTTTTTTTTCATATTTTAGAGAGAGAGAGCACACGTGCAAGTGGGGGAGAAGGGGAGAGGAGCAGAGGGAAAGAGGGAGAGAGAGAGAAAGTGAAAGCGAGAATCTTAAGCAGGCTCTATGCTCGGTGTGGAACCCAATGCGGGGCTTGATACCATGACCCTGGGATCGTGACCTGAACCAAAATCAAGACTCGGTCCCTCAACTGACTGAACCACCCAGGCACTCCATACTGTGGTGAACACAGAATAGGCTTCCTATTCTGAAAGTCTCTGATTTCCATAAGGTAGGATAAGGGCCACTATGCTTATTCCTGCTTTTTATTTTTTATTTTTTTATTTTATTTATTTATTTTATTATTATTTTTTTTTAATTTTTTTTTTTCAACGTTTATTTTATTTTTGGGACAGAGAGAGACAGAGCATGAACGGGGGAGGGGCAGAGAGAGAGGGAGACACAGAATCGGAAACAGGCTCCAGGCTCTGAGCCATCAGCCCAGAGCCTGATGCGGGGCTCGAACTCCCGGACCGCGAGATCGTGACCTGGCTGAAGTCGGACGCTTAACCGACTGCGCCACCCAGGCGCCCCTGCTTATTCCTGCTTTAACAACACAGAACCTGAGGCAAGAAAAAAAGGAGGAGCAGGGGGATTTGGTCAAGGTTATGAGGGTCAGTGGGCACAGCCCAGGTCACTCAATTTCCAGCCGGCTGCTTACCCACCTTGCCTTTCGGGTATGAATGACTGCCTGTCTTCATCCATAGCTGCCCAGCCTCTCGCGACTGCAGATTCAAATCTGAACAAACTTTGCAGGTTATCAGCGGCCAACAGGCTGAAATATACACAAGGGAACCTTCATCCCTGTCCTTGGTCCTGCCCCAGGGATGCGGCTGTAAACTAATCTAATCTAATGAAGCAAAGGCACACGTTTCTGTGAAATTTGGCCTTATCGGTGTTTAATTCAATCCAGCCTGATTTTAAGTAAACCCATCAAATAGTTTTGGAATACCTACAATGACCAAGGCACAATGTTTGGCTCTGTTGGGGAAATCAGAGTAGCCCAAGGTTGGTCCCTGCCCTCTCAGAGCCCCTGGTCTATGTTGGAGCCACACACCAGTGCCTATAATAAAGGTGAGATGGCAGGGTGTCACCTGAGGGCCTAGAGCTACAGTTCGTATGACCTGCCTCTCTGGTTTGGGGTACCACTGCGGTCCTAGCTCTTGCTTTTCATTTTCCAATAAAAGTCACACTCAAGTGCCCACTTGATACAGTTACAGGAAGTCAGCCTTGATCGTGGAGTCTCTCATCTCCGATTGCCCTGCCTCTGAATGCAAGGAAGAGTGACCATTCTGTTTTGGAGTGCCCTTTGCTTTGTCCTTGGCCACACAGTGATGTTTTCAAAAATGGATTCCAGTGTGGGTGCCTGGGTGGCTCAGTTGGTTAAGCTTCCAACTTCAGCTGAGGTCATGATCTCACAGTTCATGGGATCGAGCCCTGCGTCGAGCTCTGTACTGACAGCTCAGAGCCTGGAGCCTACTTTGGATTCTGTGTCTCCCTCTCTCTCTCTGCCCCTCCCGCGCTCATGCTCTGTCTCTGTCTCTGTCTCTCTCTCTTTCTCAAGAATAAAACATTTTTAAAAAAAATTTTAAAAATGGATTCCAGCGTAGGCCACTAATTACGTGTCCACTGCTAGGCCAAGGTCTGGATGCTCTAGACCTCTAGGGCTCCCATGGGGTGTGGTCTTTCAGGTCACACAGATGGGCTTAGGCATCATTCCCAAAGCGTAGCTTCTGTGTAGCTCAGCCTGGGTTGGGGGTGGGGGGGGGGAGGCTTCTGCTACTGGAGCCAGTCTTCCCCTTTAGACTCTTACCTTGAACCCAGGAGCTGGTCCAGACCCTCTGTCCCCATATGGTGAGTTTCACTTTGGAAGTCTTTTTCTGGCCGTTTGTTCTGCTTGAAAAAAAAAAATTGAAGCTCTACCTTGGCAAGCACCAAGCTCTAGAAATAGTATGGGAGGGAGCAGGAGGTATTGTCCTCCACATTTTTTTTTCCTTTCATGATTTAGCCAGAGATTTCCCAAGTTTCTATACTCCTTCCCTTCCTGCCCCCCACCCAGTGAAACACTTTTATCATAGCTCCTCATAAAATTAGAGCTTCGTGGGTTTTTAAATATGTGATATTTTTATCCAGAGATCACTAGAAAGCACAGATGAGATAGAGGTTGTGTAATAATTAGAAACTAGCTGGTAAAATGTAACAGAAAATAGCTATTGGCTCAAGGAAGACAAGCCTCACTAACAAGAGAATATTTTCTCCTTCCAGTGGAATTTTAGGATTCCTTCTCATGCTCAGCACAGTGAAGCTAAAAAGCCTTATGGCCCCAGGGCAGTGTGCAGCCTGGATTTTCTTTGCTAAGGTAAGAAAGAGGGAAGGAGTGGGAAAAATCAACCTCAGGAGCCTTCATGTCCAGTGTTCTTGGAGAATGTGTTTGATCTTCCTGAAACCATTCCCAGTCATTGGCCCTGAACTTGATAACTCACTCATTCCAGTAACGGTTTCTGAGGTCCTCTGACTATTTTTATCAGCATGACATAATCTTTATCACACTCCTGGAAAGGATAATCCCCTTACCTCCCCTAAGCCTTAATTTCCCCATCTCAGTGTGAAAGGTTTTGCCCCCCAAAATCTCTAAGTCTTCTCCAGTTCTACGAGACTGGATTCCTGGATGCACAGGGCAGGAATGGGGCTGTGACGGTATCCAGACTGCAAACAACAGACTATTCTAGGAATGTCCGTTGCATATCTGATGACCATGGTTGAGGCCTATGATAGAGGAGTGGGAAAGTAAGAAACAGGAAAAGCAGCTGGGGGATGCTCAGTCGTGACTGAGATGCTTTGGGACTAACTTTTTCCTAGTGGAGTATGTCATTAATTTCTCTCATGTCTGTGAAGGAGTCAAGTCGTAGGGCCCTAGGTGTTGCTTCTAAGAAATGAGATCTCTCTTTTTTTAAATTTTTAAATGTTTATTTATATTTGAGAGAGAGAGAGAGAGAAAGGGAGGGAGGGAGGGAGGGGCAGAGAGCTGGAAACAGAATCTGAAGCAGGCTCCAGGCTCTGAGTTGTGAGCACAGAGCCCAACTCGGGGCTCAAACTCATGAGCCTTGAGATCATGACCTGAGCCAAAGTCAGACACTTAACCAACTGAGCCACCCAGGTGCCCCTGAGAAATGAGATTTTTTAACTTAATCTCGTGAAATCATCATTTAAGCTTAGATCTTCACTCGTCTTTATGTTTGTTGATTTTTTCTGCCAGAAAACAAAAACAAACATTTTCTTTGAAAACAACATTTCATGGTAATATTTTCACCTGTATAGTTCTTCCTTTTAACAGCATTAATAATTCTAATTATAGCAAAATGTGAAGAGTGACTGAGATACTGACTTCTTGCATGACAGAATGAAGAGGTTGACAAATCCTCCTCACAAAAAGTAACTGGAAAGCTGGGAAAAGATTGTCAAAAATATCCATTTCAGCTCTCTAAAAATTGACCAAAGGCATGCAACAAACTGGGAAGCAAGCATTTGTTCACGAAAACTGCTAAACTTTGGGTAGGAATAGCGTGAGCCTGTGGCGTTCTTACCTCAGGTTGCTCCCATTCCCTCCTCCCCAGCTCTGTCTGTGTGTTATTTCAACCAGAGCAGGGTAGGCTGTGAAAACCAGCAGCCTTGCTGCCACTTCCAGAATATTCTATTTGGAGTATTTTTAGCTAAAGTGGCCATGTCAGTGGTAAATCAGTAAGAAGAGCTAGTATCTCCACTATCTTGAGTTTACAGTCCTCTTTGGGGCAAGCAATGGACCAGTGGTCTAGCTAGGGACTAGTAGGTAGTTCGGGGAGGTGAGACAGCCATCAGGGGCTTGATAGCTCTTCATGTGTCCCAGGTTGACCGGAGTCTGTGTGCACGAGTAGCAGAGATGGAGTGTGCCCAAAACACCCACATGTCCCTGGCCAGCAGAGCCTGCGTGCACGCACAGAGGAGATGGGAGAGAGCCAGTAGAAAGTAAAAGCTGGGGCAGACATGAAAAACTTCAGCCTGAAGTTTGAATGTACTCCCCAGCCCACACACAGTCAGAAGGAGAGAGAAGCCTTTCTGGCTGAAGGTGTTTGAGCAAAACCTCTGACTAGTCTTTGCCAGAACACTAAGCTATGCAGACATGTGGATGGCTTCTAGAAAGCCAGAAAAAGCTTAAAAATAAAAACAAGAAAAAAAATTAAGGACATCAGCAGCTGTACCGTATATGGGAGACTGATTTCATTGACTTAGTCCAGACAAATTACTATATAAGCAAAACAACAATGCTCTGGGGAAAAGTCAGAATCCAAAGTTGCTACCATATGTTATCTGAGATGTCCAATATTTAACAAAAAATTTAGGGACATTCAAAGAAACAAGAAAGCGTGATCCAGACACAGGAAAAAAGCAGTTAATGGGAACTGTGTCTGAGTGTCTGTCCTCAGATCTAGGACTTAGCAGAAAAAGACTGCAAAGCAGCTATTTAAATATGCTTAGAGATCTAAAGGAAACCATATTTAAAGAATTGAAAGAGTCAGTGAATACGGAATCTCAATAAAGAGAGATGATTAAAAAAAAAGAGAACCAGGTGGAAATTCTGGAGTTGAGAAGTATAATAAATGAAATGAACATTCCTCTAGAGGTACTCAATAACAGACTTGAAGGGCAGAAGGAAAACTAAGTGAACTGAAAGGTGGAGCGAAAGAAATTGTTCAATCTAAAGAACAAAGATTGTTTAATAATTGAAGAAATCTGGACAGAGGCTCAGAAACCTGTGGGACAACATCAAGCATATTAACATATATAAGAGTTCCAGAAGAAAAGTAAGAGTAGAGAAGGTACAGATGACTTGAACAATACTGTCAACCAACTTGTCATAACTGACATGTGACACTCTATCCATTGACTGCAGAAAACACATTCTTTTCAAACATACATGGAACATTCTTCAGGATAAGTGTTATACTGTGTCACAAAACAAGTCTTAGTAAATTTGAAAAGATCAAAATCATTTAACATATGTTCTCTGGCCACAGCAGAGCTAAATTAGAAATGTACAACAGGGCACCTGGGTGGCTCAGTTTGTTGAGCATCCGACTCTTGATTTTGGCTCCGGTCATGAACCTGGTGTTGTGGGATCCAGCCCTGCTTCAGGCTCTGTGCTGAGCATGAAGCTTGCTTAAGATTCTCTCTCTCTGTCTCTCTCTGTCTCTCTTTCTCCCTTTCTGCCCCTCTCCCCAACTCACACTTTCTCTTTCTCTCTCAAATTAAAAAAAAAAAGAAAAAAGAAAATAAATTTACAACAGAAAAAAAATCTAGAAAAAAACATTTATTTGGAAATTAAATAACATACTTCAAAATAGCCCATGAGGCAAAGAATCACACGGGAGAATTATTTATTTTCTAGCTAGACTAACTAAGAAAATAAGAAAGAAGATACAACTTATCAAAATTAGAAATGAAATCAGGGACATTACCACTGATGCTATATAAACTAAAAGGATTATATATTATGAATAACTTTATTCATATTATACCAGCAAAGTAGACAATTTAGAGGAAATGGACAAATTCCCAGAAACGTACAAACCAGGAAAATTGACTCAAGAATAAATAGAAAATCTGAATAAACTCATAACAAGTAAATTATGTAAGTAGTGATTAAACATCTTTACCCAAAGAAAAGCTAAGGTCCAATGGGCTTTACTGATGAATTCTATCAAATATTTTTAAATGAAATATTTTTTCTTTACAAGTTCTCTTAGAGAGCAGAGGGAAGAGAATAACTCCCAATTTATTCTATGAGTTGCTCTGATACTAAAGCCAGACTAAATAAAATCATAAGAAAATTATAGACCAATATTCTCCATGAATACAGATCTTTAACACAACAGTAGCAAACCGAATCTGGCAACAAAGAAAAAGAATTTTATACCATAATCAAGTGAGATTTATCAGCAATGCAAAGTTGGTTTAACAAATGGAAAGTACTATAATACATTATATTTATAGAATAAAGAATAAAAAAGGAGCCATGTCAGTAGGTGCAGAAAAATGATTTGACAAAAACCCAACATCCATTCATGATTAAAAAAAGACTCTCGGGGCACCTGGGTGGCTCAGTCGGTTGAGCTCTGACTTCAACTCAGGTCAGGATCTTGCAGTCCATGAGTTCGAGCCCCGCATCAGGGTCTGTGCTGACAGCTCAGAGCCCAGAGCCTGTTTCAGATTCTGTGTCTCCCTCTCTCTGCCCCTTCCCCACTCATGCTGTGTCTCTCTCTGTCTTTTAAAATGAATAAACGTTAAAAAAATTTTTTTTTAAAAAGACTCTCAACAAACTAGTAATAGAAGGGAATCTTCTCAACCTGATAAAAAGCACATGTGAAAAACCTATAGTTAACATGCTTAATGGTGAAAGACTGAATACTTTCTCACTAAGATTGGGAACAGTACAAGAATGTTTGTGCCTCACTACTTCTATCAGGCAGTGCAATAAGACCAAAAAAAAAAAAAAAAAGCATCCAAATTAGAAAGGAAAACATTAGTCTATATTCACAGATGACATTTATCCTACATGTAGAAAATCCTAAGAAATCTATAAAAACATTAATTGAACTAATAAACGATTTATCAAGGTCTCAGATACAAGATCAATGTACAAAAATCATTCATAGTTTTATGTATTAATAATGAACAGTCATGTTCATAAAAATGAAATTAAGAAAATAATTTCATTCATAATAGCATTAAAAATATACTTAGGAACTTAAAGCAGTTCAAGACTGAAAACTGTAAAGTCTCAGAGAAATCTAAGATCTCAATAATTGGAAAGACTCAATGTTAAGATGGAAATTCTTCCTAAGTTGATCAATAGATTTAATGTAATCCCTGTCAAAATCCCAGCAAACACTTTGTACAAATCCACAGACCGATCCTGAAGTTTATTTGGAAATTCAATAGCCAAAACAATTTAGAAGAAGAAAAACAGGGGCACCTGGGTGGCTCAGTCAGTTGGGCATTCAACTCTTGATTTCAGCTCTGATCATGATCTCACGGTTTGGTTCTTGAGTTCAAGCCCTAGGTGGGTCTCTGTGCTGACAGTGCAGAGCCTACTTGGGATTCTCGCTCCCCTCCTCTCTCTCTGCCCCTCTCCCACACATGCTCTCTCTCTCAGAATAAATAAATAAACTTTAAAAAGAAGAAGAAAGTTGGGGGATTTAAACTACATGATTTTAGAATTTTATAAAGCTAGAATAATCGAGACATTATGGTATTGGCATTGGATAGGCATTTATGGTCTATGGACTTTCAATAAAAGTGCCAAGGCAATTGAACAGGGAAAGG